TTATAATGAATGCCAGGGACACGTTTTTGCTCCGTTATAAGTGTAATTTATTATATCCAATAGGTTTACAATATATTTCTAAGGTATGGGCACTGAAAATCACTTTGCTATAAGCATCAATTCATTATAATTCCAATCTTCATTTTATTTATTGATACTTCGTGTTTTGATTGGACGGTCAACCAGTTAGCATATCTTCCAGTAACACCTCAGGAATCATAGAGTTTTAAACGCTAACTACTGAAGACTACTGAGATTACATCTCCGTGCGCCAGTTACGTCATTTTCATCAAACTCAATTCCAGTAACGAGTTCAATTGTAATGATTTCGGAATTTTCAAGTTTGACCATGCGGACGTCACGTGACTTTAATTGTATATAAATACCGCGACTCCGTAGTGATCAGTGGGTAGTTCGTCGGACGCAGCCAAGGTTAGAAGACGAGTGTCGTGAATAATGTATTCACATGTTATATTCCTCGACTGTTTTACTGTTAGAGAGTGAATTTGGAAGCCCAACCCAGTTAAGGCCTGCCACAAACAAGGATGACCTCCAATATAGAGGCTAGCCATAGTTTGTTGTGTCTCGTCTGCATTGGCTGACCAGTCCGTCCAGGTTGCTATACTCATTGTCCGTCCTGAATAATGCATCTTACAATGAGTGTAGTGGTTGAATGGCTATCACGTAAACTGTCCGTCCTGAATAAGGCATCCGACAGTATATGCGGTACTCCGAGGGAGACTGGACATCTCATTTAAGTGTTAGGTTAGGACTACCCATTTAATTGTTGCTTGCCTCTAATTGTTATATAGTGATTTAATATTTGATTTTGTTCCTTGCCTCCGATTTTAAAGTGATTTACTGTTGATTTTGATTTACCTGGATAAGGTTAGGACATATTTGAATATTTTAGCATATTTATTTTACATAGTACCAAAGAAATACAAGCAAATGTAATAGTTATATGCGTAAATTAATCCGAATTTTGTTCGTGCGCCGACAGACCATATCGGCCTTCATAAAAATCATGCTAATATTGTTAATATGAAAGATATCTAAGAATTCACAATATTAAAGAACATTGAATATATTATGGCTATGCAAAATTTGGTAAGTATTGGTTGCATGTTTCCAAAGTTATAAACATTGTCTGCGACTTTTTGGGACAACCCTCGTTCATGATATAAACTTTAATATATAGAGATCAAAGCTTAATTGGTTATTAACATTTAAAAATGTTAACTAGTTCAATTTAGGAATACAGTTGTATAAATGAGAATTATCCTAGTTGTTATTTTTTCACCAGAACACTATTTAAAAATATGTAAAAGGGACAGGACAATATTTTATCTCATTTTTATTTACTTTCTGATTTGATTTCTAAAATCATACCACATTTCGTTACAAAACATTATTATATACACTTAATTTTTTTTAAAAAGCGATTTCTTTCTATTAAGTGTTATATATAACACAGTACTATTGAATTATAAATTCCTTTCTTCAAAAGGCATCAATAAAATACCTGGTATTTCCCTCGTCCTAATACGTTTTGGAACATATGATTTAAGCAGGCTATTACAGTAAGACTATGTGAAGATAGCTGCTATGTCTGTAGACATTTAATTTCATGTTTACCCATCTAACAGTTTGTACGTCAGTAGAGCTCTCGCTACAAGATCGGGTGGTCATGAGTTTGAATACCGGCTGCGACTGACCTAAGTCGATATAAAACTTGTGTAGTAACCGTTCCAACGCCATGCGCTCGGCACTTTGAAATGAAAGATGAGGGTCCTTCAAATGAGACCTTAAAGACTGAGGCCCTGCGTCACGACAGGCGTTGGCACGATAAAGATCCCTCACTGCTCATAAGCGTAATTGCTGAGTAATGGTCAAAATTTAAAGCCCTTCGCCGTTATCTGATGACGTATCTTTATGAGTGAAATATACTAGAATGAGACGTAAAACAACATTTAATCAATCAATCAATTTAACAATTGTGGAACATGTTACATGTACTACTTCAAATTAGCTATTCAAATGTTATTCAAATGTCGTTTTGAAACATCTGTCACGTACCCTTCGAAATGAATAAATGAATACAAGAAAATTTAGCACAGATTTTTATGGAGGAATTTCTACACGTGTACACATTAAAAATTATGGCATGGGATTGGAATTTCAAACAATGTCCTTTTCAGTTTAGTCAGAGAAAAAAGAACCAATGAAAGTATAAATTAAGAAAGTTGTTTTCAGCTGTCTTTCGAAGTCATATAACGTCAGACATCCTCCTGAAAAAAAGGAAAAAATATTTGAGAGCTTACATGTATACTGTTTCACAATTCTTCTTTTCCTTGATTAAGATGTACGTTTCTCGGATTTTTATAATCATCAGTTACGTTATTAAAATACTTGAAAAAATATCATTGAATTCACAAAGAAACGTAAGTATGCTCAGCTTATTTCGTACAAAACAAAATCTCAAATCACAATTATTATTTTTCCAGGAAACACGATTAAATAATAGCTTTAAGAGAAAAGTCTGTGGCTTACGTGTGGACATCCTTTAATTTAAATATTGCTCTCCAATTAAAAGCATCATGTGTTATATCAAAATGGTTTGAACATACCATGTTAACGACTCCAGCTATAGGAACCACTGCTGCTGCTGGAATCAGACCATCTTCTGTACCAACTCCCAGGGGAGGCAACTGATCCCATGACGTAGATGGTTAGTATCACCAGAACAAGAAGCAACAAAAGCTGAATGAAGTGCATTGTAGTTTGTGATATTGAACCTGAGGAATATTTAAATACATGATCATTAAATAAAATAAGAAACATAGATCAAGATTTCTTCATAAATAACATTTCTTTTTACAATTCTAATAAAAAATATGATAGAGTATTATTGCATTCTGCAAAATACCAAGTATGATGTTTCTAGATTATAATTTTGATACATTTAAACAAATTTGAAAGAAAAAAATTCTCTTATACATATATATATTCTGACCAAGAGAATAGAAATAATGACAAGCGAACAAAATAAAACATGAAAATCGCAAAAACATAAATATTCAGTATTATTCATTCTCTTTGTTTGATATAGTTTATATGCTTCACAATTTATATTATTTAAACAAAGATAAACATTTTGCAGTGACTTGTTCTAGAGTCAGATTTAAAGAAATGAAAAAATAGTCAAAGGAAAAATGACTTATATCTACCTTATATCTATGGGACGAAGACAGGTTATTGTCATGAGAAAGATATCCCACTTATATATGTTCTGACAAATGACATTTTAAACTATAGAACTTTTCATAATGTTAACATATGCACATAGTTTCTGCACATTCATTGCTTTAATTCGATTTAAACTACACTTCAGCTGGTGATAAATGCTGTTTGATTGCCAGCTGCGCAAGACCCTCAAAATGTTGACCTTGTTATTGACTTTTACGCTAAACATAAGGATAAGCAGCATATCAAAAGTCGGTGGGAATTTGTCTGTAAGCTTACTTATCACAATAATTATAATTTAGGGATGGCAATTTATAACCGGTTAATCGATTAATTGATCGGAACGATGCTAATCAGTTAGAAAATCTGTAGTCGGTTAGTCGGAAAAAATAAAATATATGTAAATTTGAGCGCAGTTTTCTTAAAATTCCTTCTGTATTATTTTTTAGAAAGGAAAGCTCTGCAAAGAGTTTTATTCAGTATTTTACACACTTTATAATTAAGAATATTTGGGGGTAATTTTGCTCTCCAGATTGAGATCGCAGGGTAATTGGTCAATTTGTAAAGTGTTAATTACTGTTTTTATAACATCATGCCGTTACCCATATAGTCCTGTGGTTCTTTTTAATGATATTAAAAACATCACCGCTAAGCACTTTTAATTATAGTATGTCTATATTTTGCTGTTGTCTATTAAAACAACAATTATGTAAATAATTTCATTTATATGTTGAATGCTGTTTATGTTTTTTTGTCTAAATGTAAGTGAGTAGATGTTCTATTTTTATTGTTCAAACTCATCGTTTTGATTTTTAGCCGGGCTTATTGCTCAGAGAGCAATTGCCGGCTTATGTCATCCTGTTCAAGACAGGAAGTCAACCCCATAGTCGCCATTTTAAAGTTACGTGTGAAAATATAGTTCTTACTCTCAACCGCTTTTTGAGATAATACAACCGCTAAATAAAGCAACAAAAATAAAACGAAGTTTTATCTCAATAAATAAACATTAATAGTAATTTCTTTGAAAACCTCAGTCTTAAGTAAAAGAACATTTCATTAGCGTAAGGATTTTTGATAAGTGTTATCGTAGTTCTCTAAAGCAGGAGAGGGAACCAGACTGGCCTGTTTGCTTACATTCAACTGCGGTACCAGATTAATTCTGATTCTGACAAAATCGGACCGTGGTATTAGGATCGAAAAACTCACTGTCAGTGTCCTATCATTTATGTTGATAGTTTTAAAATATTTTTTCATCAGAATTTTTAATCTGACATTCTTGTTATTTATCTGTTAACGCAATATAAACATCTGGGGGTCGTAACATAAAGGCTACTTAAGTCTAAGACAGTGCTTAAGTAGGACTTAAGTACAGTCTAAAACTTAAGACCGTAACTAGAAGCGTACTAAGATTTGATAATCTTAGCAAAACTTAGGCGGCCGGTAGAGGTGACTTAAGTATATTTTAACTTTCTTGTACATATATTTAGAGTTATATAATGTTGATTTTCGATGTTAAAACATTCTTGTATATATATTATGCATTAAAGAAAATAATTATCTCTATTGGACGCTGATTTAAGAATTTTATTTTTTCGTTTGGGGGGGGGGGGTTTGATCACCGATTCCAATATCACTTCCAACACAGCATACATGTAAATACAAATTTAATTTTAAGGATACGTCTAAAATTAGTGGGACCTTGGTTATAGAAATTGAACACAGTAATAAACCGTTCATCGGTATGTTCAATTTGAAAATATGAGTTGAAAGAAAGGAAAGAGGATGATGACTAAACCAGTTATAAAAAAAGTATCTGTAAAGTAGAATAAATGTAGAACGATTTAGACAGGGTTCATTACAGTTCTAGAGAGAGAGAGAGAGAGAATTGCTTGTAAAGTGGAGACATACATGTACGAAAAAATATCCGATTTTTTTGTATCCTTGATTAAATTGCAAATGAGTATATCATGACTTCTGCAGTTTTTGCCTCTGACACACGCATGGCCTGATACATAGCGGGGATTCAAAATGTATTGAACTTTTTAGAGTTTCAATTTCAAGTGGATAGGCGGTCGAGTTATCTTTTGTTGTCTGCGATAATAACAGGGTAAGTGAACATTTGTCAAAACACAAGAGTTACAAAAGGTAACTGAAAACATCTCAGGTGATAAAACAATTGTCGTACATCTATATATACAATGAACCACAGATCGCCACTTTCTGACCGTGCGGTATTTGTTTTCAAACATTCCGAATAATTTATAACATAATTATAATTAGGGCTTTCCACCTTTCTGTGGAAAGACCTCTTGAAATGCTTATGTTTATTATTAGGGCTTTCCACCTTTCTGTGGAAAGACCTCTTGAAATGCTTATGTTTATTATTATTATTATTATTATTATTTTTCTTCCCGGACTTTTGAAACCGCAAGACGTATCGGAAAACTTTGTAGTTCATGATATTGGATATTAAAAGTTATTCCGAAAAACGACCCCCCATGTTTGAACTTTGACCCCTTTCAAAGTTATTGCCCCTTTCGCAAGAAATGCTTGTTATCGCTACTCCTTTGAAACCGTAAACCGTAGAGGTATGAAACCTTGACCAATGTCTTCGACTAATTGAGAGGACCCTGGAATCTATTCATTGCAAAAGTATTCGGTGACTCCTTCAATGAGTTATTGCCCCTGAAAGTTTTAAAGCTTACAAGAAAAATTAAAAACTTTTAAATGACAAGTGGTAAAGATATAGGACCAAGTGCATGAGATCTTATGACCGTTGACCTTGAAAATAGGTCAAGGTCAAAGGTCAAGGTCATTGGAAAAGTAGAGAAATTGTCAATTTAAGCTTAAAATTCAAATGACCTTGACCTTTGACCTTGAAATTTGATTTTGACCTTGACCTCTGACCTTGACCCTTACTCAAAAGGTCATAAAGAAATATTCATTACCTTTATCTACATTCAGCTTCAAGTGTTAATCTCAAGTTTACCTCTCTCTTTTTTCATGACCTTGACCTTTGAACTTGATAAATGACCTTGACCTTTGACCCCATTGACCCAAAGGTCACAATCAAGCTAAAGGTCGTGGAGGTATTTACAACCATCACTCTAACAAATGCTTATAAAATTAACACCCCCCCCCCTTTAAAAAAGAAAATGAACACCAACTTAGAGAAAATGTCTACAAGTCAAACGAAACGAAATATCGGCATAAGATTCGTAATAAAAGCAAGAAAAGACCTGAAAGAAAGTGTCCTGAGAGTTTGAAGGTGAGTCTCTAAAGTATTTTGAAATTATAGTGAATATCGGCAAAATCTGCATTTTTTTTCTGTCTGAAATTTAGTTATTGCGGAGCATAAGAATTAATTAAAACTCGTATTGGCTATTTCTGCAATTATTGTTAATATCATTCGATTCTCCTGCTCTATTACGACATTTTAATACCAAGTATTCTTGCTTTCTTAGGTGTAGGGAATTTATTTTAATTTTATTTAGATTTAAATCTAAATCTCGGAAATAGCGATTTTTCATATCAAATAAATTTCCCCGCAATTTAGATAGGTTAAATCAATTGCAGATACCCCGCTTTATACAATATAGTGTAGAAAAAATGTCCATGACTCACTCACTGTTTTTTTCCGGGATTTTGAATTTCCTCTGCAACTGACCACGTGTATTACTTTCGCTTTTACGACTCTATATATGCTACGTGTCATTGCTTCACTGCTAATGTGTCCCATAATTATTCTAATCATTTTCCTACATACAATATCACATCAAACCGGCAAGATCTCAGTTTTTTAAGAAATTTGACCGGTACTTTCCTACGAAACTACAGGTATCCTCTTCCACCTTCAAAAAATAAATTAGTTTACAAAATACGCTTACTTGTGTACAACTTGATGGCTCAATGGTTAGCGTGTCCGACTTACAAACTGAGGGTTGTAGGTTCAAGCCCAGCTGGAGAAACTTTTTTTTTTTTTTTTTTTTTTTTTTTTTTTTTTTTTTTTTTTAATTCAAATGACATGAAAACTTAAAAAAGGTGG